ATGATTTTAAAATCAAGGGATAATAAGTGCTAACTGATAGTGTCTTGTGATAGATCTCAAACTTGGGTAACAAAATAATTTATTGCAAGCATAGAACTATTAAAATATTTTTATTGTGGTGGTAGTCAGTGATTGTGGTTACTTCTTAAGTAAACTATTCTTTGTATCAATATCATTCTGCACAGTTTAAAAATCATAGCAAATACTAGAATACTGGCAATTTAACCAACCCTTGCACTCAATACAGCAGTAATTTCAATTAATGTGTTTATAGAGAGAGGTTTAGGTAATAAAAAATGCAAAAAATTTGGAATCTAGAGGAAATGCCAAACATCCTAGGAGTTTGGCCAATGGTAGTTTGAGGGGTAAAAATCACAGACCCTGTCAGTAACCTGATACCTACAGTTTCTTTATCCATTAGGTCTCCTTTACTTCATTTTGTTTTCAAGAAATCTGATTCCTCTGGATCTGCGTCCTTTCTGTGATCAGCTTACACTTCACTCTCCACTGTCATCTTGAGAGATTGTTCTCAGTTGAGTAAGGTTATTTGAATGATGGCATATGTTGAGATGTGTCAGAATATGCAGACCCCTCTCAATTTTGGATGCTTCACTGTTCTACTTGATTTGTGTCTAACAAAAATGAAGAAATCCTTTTGTATGTGCCACATCAGCTTGTTTTAATGAAATCAGTCATGAGCTTAAACATGAGAGCTGCATCCTATAGAGAATGTTTTCTCTAAGGATTCAGAGTAGTGTGTGTCTTAAACCAGACTGGAAGTACTGGAGTGTATAAGGCATATTTCTTCAGCCTTCAGCAGTGGAGGTTCTTAAAGATGGAAAGCAGTAGTGTGCTTGAATAACAAGAGCATGGGAAGTTCTTACAGTGTTATTTACACAGTTTGTACCCTTGTTGTGAGCTTGCTTTATTATTCGCATTAGTAAGAGCTGGAGACTTCTATTTTTCTTGTGTTTCAGCTGGAATCAGGTTTGGAGAGCATTGTTAGAATCATGATGCTAAATTTAATCTGGACTTATAAAATCATGGAGGAAGACATTCTTCAGAGGGGGGTACTGATATACAAATTAAAGATTTTGCCTCTGTACTCAGAAGTAAATCTTTGGTTTTGGGCGTTTGACAATTAATACCAATTCTATTATGAGATGATGTTTCAAAATAAATAAATATTGAACTTGTAAACAAAAGTTGGTTTTTTTGCATGGTACATTGAAGAGAACTTTTCATTTTTATACCACAGATGATGTTAATATTTTGCTGCTGATAGTTGTAATATGTGTATTAAATGATACGTACATTTTCTGCATGTGATACCCGTACACTTTTTTTATATTGATACTTGCCTGAGCGTGAAGAAATACAGTCTTTTACAGCCTCTCCTTGTGTGCATTTGCTATGTGAGGCAATGGACTGCAGTGAAATTTTTTATTTGGTTCTTGACATGGCAACCCTATATCCATTCATCACTGAAATCTAGCTTAAGATGCCTTTTGAATGGATGAAGGGCCAAAAAAGAAGGAAAGGTGTAACACAGTGGGAGTTTACTGCAGACGAGGATTAGGAAATTTTGACCACTGCTCGTTTGAGGGATCATGCTATTTATTACTAGCCACACCTGTGTCCATGTGAGGGTGCAGCTGATAGCCATAACCTGCAAGACAGGAACAGGTATGTAACTCTGTACAGGTGACCTCGGTGTGATGACAGCAGGGACTGCCAGCACCAACAGGCCCCAGGGGACCTGCCAAAAAGCACAGCTGAGCCCTGCAGCTAAGGTAGCAATGCCCCCGAAGTAAGGGAAGGGTAAAAAGTTGCCTGGCATTGTGAGGAATGAGGAAAAAAAGTGAGAAAAACATCCCTGCAGACACCAAGAGTAGAGGAGAAGAAGGAGGAGGTGGTGCTCCGGGTGCTGTAGAAGATTATCCTTCACTGCACGTCCTTCAGGAGGCTCTTCCCATGGAAGACCCCAGGCCAGACCCCATGCCCTGAAGGACACTGCAGCCTGTGGAAAACCCGTGCTGGAGCAGGCTTATCCTTCAGGTCAGCACATTGTGGAGAGAGAGAGAAAGGGAAAAACGTGAGAATAAGGGGTCAGAAGAGACAAACATGCTGGCCATACCCCCTGTTCTCTACCCACCCTGTGCCACTCGGGTACAGGGGGAAGATGCTTTCATTTGTCTCTGTTTCCTGCTATCCAAATCTGTTTTGATTTGGCAGCAAATTAGTTTTCTGCAGGTCAAGTATTATTTTCCCATCATTTGATGAAGTTTGCCCTATGCTTAAGGTGTCTCTTTAATGCACAAAGTAAGTAAAATGTAGAGCAAGTACCTGGTTCATCCTTACTTAGAAAACCTGAGGAATTTGTTGCCAGTGAGACTGTGCTGGGCTTGAAGTCTACTGAGATGTGTGTGCTGCATTTAAGCTTGTTTAATTTTTTTCAGGTAAGAAACTTTAAAATGCAGGGTAAAGAACGGCATGTTATGTTACCTTCGCATGAGATAAGTTGAAGCATCCTGGAAGGCTTTTCAGTTGCAGCTGTGAACAGTGGCACTTCCTCCGATGAAACTGGTGGAAGATGGGTTAATTCTCAGAACTCAGAGTTGTACCCCAGATACATATTAGGGTTTCTTATTTTTACTTTTTTTTTTTAAATCTTTGTTTTTCTGTGCATTTTCATGGTGTGAAATTCTTGCCATTGGAATTATCTAAAGGCCCTGGCATTCAATGTCTGAAAACATATTGAAACTGTGGTGCTTTAATCCATGGCTTTGATTTTCTCTACTTTCTGTGTTTACTTCCATGGTAGAAGGTCTTCTTAACTCCACTTCTAATGATTATGGAAAAATAAGGGCACAGTTGGCAAGGATACAGCTTCATCTTCCCTTTTCTACCTGTGAAATTGTCCAAGAGATGGAGAAATAGCCTTTTTTTTTTTTTTTCCAAAAGCAGGCAGAATGATAACAGAGATTGTTTTATTACCCAGATTTGTCTGAAAATTATCCATTTCCGTGCATATAACTTCACATCACTGTTTTTTAACTTCTCACTCAGGAAACTGGCACTATTCTTTTTGATTTCTCAACCACTGAGTTAAACTTTGGTTTCTGCAAGGAGCTGAAAGAAAACATTAAATGTTAGTAGTTATAGCACAGCTTTTCAGCTGGCAGTTCTAAGAACATAATCTTAAAGCCCTGGTTTCAATTTGCAGCAAAGAGAATGAAGACAGAAGAAATATGGCAAATGTTCTATGATTGAGTCTTTGTTCAAGGGGGACTAAGGCCTTGTTTTTGGTTAGTAGACAGGGAAAACTTACAGCACCACCTAATGGACTGCTACTCCTGTTCCATATACAGAGTTTATCAGCATATTTCATAGTCTAAATAATTCTTTAAAGTCATAAAATAATATATGTCTGAGTGAAATTCAGCTTTAGACATAAAAATCAAATGTAGTCTATGCATTTTACTAGTATTTGAGAACTATCCTTTTAAATAGAAATCAATTTCACTCATTTATAGTTTATATTAGAAAAGTTGATTTTTAGGTAAAAATAACATTTTTCAAGATACTTAGAAGTGTTATCTTGTAGATGTACAGAAAGTACTTATTGACACATAACTAGCTAATCTTCTAATGTATAACATTTAAAACTCATGATGAACTGAACCTAAAAAAGCAAGTGCAAAAAGGAAAAGCAACAGCCAAAACCCCAGATACTTTTATCAGTGTTAATGATTACCTTTCAATATCTGTTCAGCGTTCTGTAACTAGTGTAGCTGATTGAAAAGTTAAATACATGTATTCACATTTATTTTGTGTGATTGTGCAGAAAGATATGTTGGATTTTTTCTTTTTTAAGTAATGCACACTTATACTTGAAGGAAACTGTGTTTTGTACCACCTATAAAATTTAAGTTTGTCTTCTTGCTTTTGTCAGAATATTTTCTGGATGATTTATCCATATGTCATGCAGGGTATCCAGTGTGATAATTGCAGAAGAAACAAAATTATCTTCTATTTCTCTCGATGTGACACAGAAACATAGAGAAAAGCTTTTCATTTTTCTTAGCCAGATGTATCACATTGTTTTCTTTCTGTAGCAAAATGGTTTAATATGGTTTTTATGTTTAGAAAATGAGTAAGTTAACTGTCACTTGCTGATGTGGGAACAAAAAAACCACAAAATCTTTCTTTCTCCAGCTTTACTCCTGATAGGAACTTGTGTGTGTTGGCAGCTTAACAATTTGAGCTGAGTTAGATCTGTATGGTATTTATATAAATATGTTTTATAGTATTATTTTAACTTTGGCAACACTCTTGTAATATTAGATATGTATCTGGTGTGTTACCTTCTCATGTATGTTTGTGTGTATAAATATTTTGGGATGGAGAGGAGCTAAACAAGTAAGTGGCTGTATTAAAATATTTTTCTGGTGTAATTGCTGGCAACCAAGGGGGGATTGCAGCCTTTTTTTATAGGTTTGGTTTTTTTTTGGTTTGTTTTTAATTTGACAAAGTGTAAAAGGAGTGCCACAAGATGTGTTTTCCATCTTCGCGTTTGTTCAGGATGTGTTCTTATGCCTTAAATTGTTCCTGTAATTTCATTATTTACAGTTATCTAAAAATGTGACAGTATACTGAATAATAAAACCAGTGCATAGACTTTTCTGTGAATGCTGTATGTATTTAAATGACCCCCTGGGTCTCCTAAACCAAACTTTTAAAATTCCATATCTTTCACTGTGCATATGCTACTGGCATGTAGCCACCCACCCACCCAGATTTACTTGAAATAAATGAAATTTATTCTAGTTCTTCTAAGTAGAAAGCTTGTAAAATACAAAGGTAGTCAGTCCCTTTGCTCATAAGGTTACTAAAACAAAGCGTTTTCTTAAATGGAGTTTTGTGGGGTTTTTTTTTTCTTCTGCAGGTTGTGCACAACTTAATGAAGTTTTATGTACTCCTTTTGTTTTCCTTTGCAGATGGGGTTTATACAGATCAATGAGGACTTCATATTTATTGAGCCACTCAATCGCACTTTGGCTGTGACAGGTCACGCACACAGGGTGTACAGACGAAAAAGGTCCACAGAGGAGAAAGTCACCGAGAAGCCAGTTCCTCAGAATCAGTACTGTGGTGTCGTTACAGGTAATACACAACTTGCAGTGAAAAGATCTAACGTAGCAAATGTATTTTTAAGGTAAGTAGGTACTAGTTAAAAACAAACAAAAAACACACACACAAAAAATCCCCAAGCGAAACAAACCCAAAACCCCCAAAACAAAACAAACAAAGACCCCAAATGAAATCAAACCAAAAACCACAAAAGCCTCCAAAAACCCCCAAACAACAAAAGCATATCTAATGATTCTTGTAGCAGTACCTTATGGTGAACCTTGAGGTGGGCAAGCTACCATTTTACTTGTTGGAAGAGGGAACTGTCCACTGAGGAATAGACATTGCTGCTTAATTTCCATTTGTATTTAACAGTAGAACTCTTTCAATAGTTTTTCTCCTTCAGCTTAATAATTGCAGTCTATATTTTGTCCCTCTTCATCTTCATAATTGCTTAATTACTCTCTACATGCAATGCTTCTACTTAATTTTCTGTTTTAAAACACTGGAGTGTTTTGAAGAGTTCTTCCTGGTTTTGGTTAGTAATAAGTTTTGAACTTCCAAATGCGTCTGACACTGAATTGAAATGATTTTTATAAGTGTTCTGGTTCTGTGATTGACACTTAGAAGACCTGTATGAAACAATCCTAATGCATCTCTGTCAATGACAGCTGGAAGCAACTGTTGAAGTAGAAGGCTTTCAACAAAAATTTGGCACATGGTGATGACTTAGTAGTTTTCAATGGAAAAGGTGGCTTTTGTGAAAGGTGACATTCTGTTGTTCCTGCTTCATCATCAGCTCCCCTCCTTCAAAGGCTAGAGGGCATCTCAGCCTTTTGACCTCAGCATGAGCTGAGGGTGTTTCTGATGTTGTTGTCAGAAATTATTTTTCTCCCAGGATACAAACCAGGGTGAGCACACATTCGTAGGCACGTTTTTCATGTATTACTGAGATACTGACAAAGTGAAAGAAATGGCAGAGGTAACTGACCAGGGTAGGGAGCTGGGTTATATATTTGGGGTGAGGCAGAAGGAACTGAGCTATTTCAAGTAGGTAAGGAAAGGTAAAGCTGCAGTTCTCTGGTGCCTAAGGGTCTGCAGAGGGAAGATGAAACCAGACATTCCTCAGAGGAATGCTGTGACAGACAACAGTTGTAACTTGCATTCAAGGAAATTTCGATTTGCATAATGGAAAAAAAAAAAATCTCAGCAAGTGTGCTTGGCACTGCAAGAGGTTACCTAGATAGGCTGTTGAGTCCATGTCCTCAGACATTTGTAAAACTTAACTGGAAATGACTCTAAGAGAGCTAATCAGACTTTGACATTTGTACAGACTAGAGCAGGAGGTTGGCCTAGCTGTCTTCCAGGAATCACTTTCAACCTGTACTTTTCTGTGGCTATCTGATCCTTCCTGAACATTTTATATGGTTACAGAATAACTGTGACAGTCTGTGGGTTTTTTTTGTTTGTGTTTTTTTTTTTTGTTGTTGTTTTGTTTTGTTTTGGTTTGGTTTTTTTTTTTTTTTTTGTTTTCCATTTTGGAAGTATTGTTTTTATAGTTAGGCATCCGCAGTTTGAAATCAAAGATAAATTAGCAAAGCAAGGCTGTTTTTGTAGCTATTAAGCAGAACTAAATAAATGACATGTAACTTCCTCCAGCACACTCTGTATTACTCTTCTAGGCATTGTATTTGATTGACACTGCTTATCTAAAAGCGAAGTTTTCTATATTGGCAAAAATTGTTCACATAAGGTAAAACTGTTTATTCTTCGCTATTAATGATAAATAAGTTAAGAGTATCCATGCCTGTTTTTGTTTGGGAATGAGAAAGAGAAAATGAAAAGTATGCATGGTGTGTGCACTGCGAAGCGAGAGGGGCATCTGACAAATAGCAAACCATGATGGGTATTAAAATGAATAAAGATGCAAACTCTTCTGTAAGGACATTGTTCTTTTGTGATGTTCATTGCCAGATATCCTTTCACTTCCCCTTATGCTCTAAAACAGAAAAGTCAGCGTATTCTTTATTATAATCTTACGCTCAAGGCTCTGACTTGTTGCAAATAATCTGTCAACGGAGATTCAAATATTTGCTTGAAATAAGTTTTATTATCTCTACTACCAGCTTTTAAATTTCAGAATAGTTCAAGCTGTGCATGACTGATTAGCATCTTCTGGCATAGCTTTATTGCCAGAGGGTATGAATATCTGCTATTTCTGACTGATGCTGTTGTACTATCAAGACCAGTCTCTCACTCTGCAGGTATAAGTGATTTTAATAAGAGGGACTGCAGTAAGTTACATGCTTAAAAGCTCTGTCTATGCTGGGAGCAATCTGCTGGTGTGATGTGAAGTTAGCTAATACCACCAAAAATATTAACGTTGCAGACAGAGACTTAACGCTGGGTTGAAGCATCGGTAATAAGCCTTTACATCAATATTTTAGGCATTCTAAGTAAATCAGTTAAGCAGAGGTAAAACAAATGAGTATATGGGCTTCTGAGATAGTCTCAGGTAATGTACAGCTGTCTTGGGTTGAGTTGTAGCTCTGTGGCACAGAGCAACTCAGTACTCTGGACCTATCTTACAACCAGATCTCCTGCTTCTCCAGCACTTGTGTGTCAGAATAGGTGCTCTGGGACAGGTATTTGTGTTGCTGGTTTTGATCCAGATTGGTCTCAAAGGCTGGCTGCATATCAAGCAAATGTGTATTGCCAGTGATGAACTGTAATTATCATTAAGAAGGAAGGAATGTCTGTGCTAGAGGTGTTGAAGGATCACTATTGGAAATAATAGCTTTTCATGGAGAACTAGCAAGAGGCAATCAAAGAAGGTATTGTTTGTTGTCCGTTACTGCTGAGGGATGGATTAAAATTTGCTACACAGCCAAACTTGTTTGGAGAGAACAAAAGAACTTGTTTTTGTGAATGGGGTGGTTTTGTTATTAATTAGGGGAGGCAGAGAGTCATACCAACAGAAGCAGATGCTTTCTCGATTGATAACAATGTGCATGTATACACTTTTGTTGAAAGTGTGTGTGATTTATATACATATGTAAGCCAGTTGCACACGCACAGACCTTACACTCCACACCTTCCTTTAGCACATGGCCCACAAAACCTTTAAAAGCAACCGGTTCAGGAGCACGTTACAGAGACAATGTGAGAGAAGCTGTAATTAGAGCAAAAGACCACACTGGGAAATTAAGTTCTTTTCCTTCTACTAGTCTGAAGCACTTGTTCCACTCTAAAGTTGTTTGTACAGTGAACCTAAGTTACGGTTAAGGCATGGGGCACTTCTCAAGTAGTCATTCGTTTACACACAGTGAGACCTCGTCCAGGATATGGTAAGTGTGAATTTTGAGTCCCTTCTGAATTTTTGAGACTGGGAGACTCCTCTTCTACTTCTTAGTTCTGGCAATAAACAATATACTGTCCTGAGTTACCAGTGTGCTTCTCCTCTCAGTGATGCAATTTTGCAGGAAAAAGCCTGCAAAGTTTCGCTGAATCAAAAGCCGAAGTTTCACGTTTTGGGATGTAGACTGGGCATTTAACTGGGAGAGCTGTGTTGGTTTTTGCTCTACAGCCTGTCTCTATGTGATAGTCATGAAATGCATAAACAATTTTGGTCATAGGTCTGGACCTGTGAGGTTGGACTAGGTAGAGACTGGTGTTACTTGAGATACTCGTTTCCGTTCCTTGGATTAGAAAAAAGTTGTCACTCTGCAGGAAGACATTTAAATCTCTATTCAAACTATAGTGTAGGTATAGCTCATGGCTTCGTAAGCTCCTGAATATTCCCCACCTGGACAGAATACTGCAATTTCCATTTGACCAGGGTGCCCCTTTTTCTTTTCCCTGGGAAAAGAAAACCTGGGGAGTGATGGAGATTGCTCTGTAGTCTGGGTCTCATGTGCCTATACTCAGGAAATGCTTTTGTGCCTGAGGACTTGTAGGGATCCAGTCCTGCAGTCACAGCCTCTTCTTAATGTTGGCTCAGCTACTTTATGCAACCTGTGGTTATAGTAGCTGGATTTTAATATCTTTCAGGTTTTTGGGTGGGGTTATTGTTTTGTTAACACTCTTATTGTTTTCTCTTAATTACATATTGAATGCCAGATGTACTTGCTGCAGTATTTTTTGCCTTCCTACTGGAATACTTCAGTATTCTGAGCTTTCCCTTCAGTCAGTTAAGTTTAAGAGGGCACAAAAGTTCATGTGTGCACAAATTAGAAGTCCTATTGCACAGAACCCTCCTGTAGAATTTACTTTTTATTTTGACAATGTAATTAAATTTTAAGATGAATTTGTGCATCTTTAATCAGACTTTTATCTTGCTAGTACATGCAGTATTGATGTAGATTTTTTTTTTCCAGGAGTTTTTATCTCTTACATACTGTACCTTCAATAATGACCTGTTCTTTATAATTTTTATGACTTTATAATTGTATTTATGACTATGTTAAGAAGCAAGTGTTTTTACCTAAAGCCTGTTTTGCCTATTATCTGGCATCAACACTGGCAGTTGTTTGAATACCAGTAGTACCAAAATTACTAATTCCATTTGTTTGAAGTTCTTGGGGAAGGGCTACAATTTTTCAGATAAATGAGATCTCGTGATGGGGATTTCTGCCAGCAATTTGGAAAAGGTTGGCTGGCCAAGAACAGATTGTCTATTGGTTTTTTAATGGGACAGACAGCTAAGGCAAATGATGGGCACAGCCCCTGGCAGACAGCTTGTCTGCAGAGCTGTGTAGTCTTCTCATCCACTACAATCCCAAAAGCGGAGGTTTCAACAGTTTACAGTTTATGGGACCGCAGTGACCTTAGTGTTTAGCACAATGCTGTAATTTATTGTGGACTGCTTACTGTCAGTTCTGCACTCCTAGCTATAACTTTTAGAGAGGTGTGTTAACAGACTTCTCTGTACAGGCTAGCTGCTGTTTTTTACAAAGAAATGAAGAATGAATAAACTGTTCCTGGAAACTGCACTGGAATCAATCACTGTGCCTGTGACAAAGGCGGATTGACCAAATGGCTTCTGAGGGATCTTTTCTAAGTTTAAACTTAGACCTATAACTTACTTTTGCAGCATTAAATGTTTGCGTATTAAGTCATACTATAGCTTTTAGACAGTGGGGGGTTTTGGCACAAATACTGACACTGAAACTTCATTAGAAATTATCCTCAAAAGAGTGATGAAAACACACATAATGCTTCATAAACTAGGCTGTAGATCCACAGTTAGCAAATGTGAATAAGGCTAGAGGCTAGCAGAAGTTACAAGGCTAAGCAAGTGTCTCGAGGCTCAGAATGAGAGACTTTAAATTCAATCTTAGATAGCTTATGAATTTATAAGCTGTTTCTACTTCTAGGAAATCAAACACCAAATATTTTTTCCTGAAGAATGTATACCTTTTTCTTTTAGTGAATGTATATGCTTATCAGTGTTTTATATTGTCATCAATTCTATAGGAATCAGTAAGCCTTTCTAACATAGTGGGATGGACTAAATCACTCACATCCATAACTTTTACAAATGACTACAGAAAAAGATGGACAGTCTTTTTTAGCATGCATAATTCATACTTGTTACCTTGAAAAAAAAAATATTTACATTAAATCTACATTACAGAATCACAGAATATGCTCAGTTGGAAGGGACCCATCAGGACCATCATGTCCAACCCTTAGCACTGCCCAGGACCGTTCCTGAGAGTCACACCATGTGCCTGAGAGTATTGTCCAAACGCTTCTTGAACTCTGTCAGGGTTGGTGCTGTGACCACTGCCCTGGGGAGCCTGTTCAGTGCCCAACCACCCTCTGGGGGTAGGACCTTTTTCTATATTCGACCTAAACCTCTGCTGACACAACTTCAGACCACTCCCTGTGTCCTGTCACTGGCCACCACAGAGCAGAGATCAGTGCCTACCCCTCCTCTTTTCCTCACAAGGAAGCTGTAACTGCACTGAGGTCTCCCCTCAGTCTCCTCTTCTCCAGCTGAACACACCAAGTGATCTCAGCCACTCCTCACACGGCTTCTCCTCCAAACCCTTCACCATCATTGTGTCCTCCTTTGGACACCCTCTGATAGCTTAATATCTTTCTCGTATTGTGGTGCCACAAACTGCCACAATATTGCAGGTGAGGCCTCCCCAGGTCAGAGCAGAGCGGGACAATCCCCTCCCTCAACTGGCTGATGATGCTTTGCCTGATGCCCCCAGGACAGGGCTGGTCCTCCTGGCTGCCAGGGCACTGCTGGATCAGATTCAACTTGCCCCTGACCAGGACCCCCAGGGCCCTTTCCATGGCACTGCTTTTCAGCATCTCATGCCCCGGTCTGTATGAACACTCAGGGTTACACCGTCTCAGGTGCAGAATTCAGCACATTCCCTTGTTGAACTTCATATATTGGTGATTTCCCAGCCCTCTAATTTGTCTTGATCTCTCTGCAGGGCCTCCCTGCCTTTGAGGGAGTCAACAGCTCCTCCCACTTTTGTGTCATCTGCAAACTTGCTCAGTATACCTTCCAGTTCTGCATCCAAGTCAGTTATGAAGGTGTTGAAGAGCACAGGGCTGAGGATGGAGCCCTGTGGAACCCCCCTAGTGACAGGTCACAGTCTGATGTCACCCCACTCAGTGTCACCCTCTGTGTCCAACCCGTGAGCCAATTGCTCACCCACCATGTGGTGTGTTTATCCAGCTGAGTGCTGGACGTTTGGTCCAGGATCCTGTGAGAGACATCAGCTGGATTCCCCTGATCAGCTGGGTGGGTTACCTTGTCATAGAAGGAAATTGGGTTTGATAAGCAGCACGTTCCTTTCATGAAGCCATGGTGGCTGTGACTGAAGACAGGATTGTCTTTCTGGTGTTTTTCAATACTTCCCACAATAATCTTTTCCATAACTTTACCAGGCACTGAAGTGAGATTGCCTCTAGTTTCCAGGATCCTCCTTGATCTTCTTGAAAATTGGACAATATCCACCAGCGTCCAGTCAGCTGGGACCTCTCCAGGTTCCCAAGAACACTGAAAAATCATCAATAGAGGTTTTGTGATGGCATCAGCCAGCTCTTTGAGGAATTCTGGGATGAATCCCATCAGGCCCCATAGATCTGTAGGGATCCAGCTGGAGCAGCAGATCCCACACAGTTTCAGGATTGACTGGGAGTTGATCATTCTCACACTCATGGTCCTCCCTCTCAGGGCACTGAGACTCTCTTGGTGCATCATCCATGTTGAAGGCAGAGGCAAAGAAAACATTAAATATCTTTGCTTTGTCTCTGTCCCTGTTTGTGAGGTGACCATCTTCATCCTGTAATGGGCTGATGATATTTCTATACTGTCTTTTGCCATTAATGTATTGGAAAAAAACTCTTTTTATTGTCCCTCACATTTCTGGCACCTTCAACCCCAACTGAGCTTTGGCTGCGTGAATTTTCTCCATACAGCAGCAAATAGCATCTCTGAATTCTTCCGATGTCACTTAACCTTGCTTCTACTGACTATACAAGTTCCTTTTTTTGCCTTATTTCCAAGAGAAGATCCCTGCTGAGCCAGGCTGGCTTCTGCCTCGCCTGCTTGACTTCCAGCCTTTGGGAATTGCTGCTCCTGTGCCCTCAGGAGGTGATGTTTGAAAAGTGACCGGCACTGATGGACCCAGCACCTGCAAAAACATTTTCCCAGGGGACCTTACTTCCTAATTCCCTGAGCTGCCTGAAGTCTGCTCTCCTCATGTGCAGAGCTGAGGTTTCACTGGCACTTTTCCTCCTATCAAGGAGATTTTAAACTCGATCACTTCGTGGTCACTGTGGACAAGAGGCCCCCAGTCTCCACTTTGCTCAGGAGATCCACTCTGTGGACAAGCAGCTGATCAAGGAGAGCACCTTTCTGAGTCAGCTCCCTTAGCACCTGTTCCATAAAGTTGTCATCCAGGTTTTCTTAGGAGTCTTCTGGCCCAGGTTGTTCCAACTGTGTGATGATCCCACTCAATTTCTGGCAAGTTGAAGTCCCCCATAAGGACAGGGGCAGTTGACTTGGAAGTATCCCTTAATTCCTCAAAGAATAATTCTTTGCATCATCACAGATCCTTCTTCCACTCTTATCTTATATTTTAAATTTAATTTGTGAGTTTATTGACTTTTAAGGCATTTTTTTAGCACTTTCCTGAAGAGTGACTTATTTTTTGAAGAGTAGTCATGTGTTATAAAAAGCACCACAGGAGCTTTCCTGTTAAATATGATATTGATTAATTGCAAAACATTTCCTCAAAATTTCTGAATATTTGATTGTTTCCAGAACATGTGTTTATAATTGTCATCTCAGGCATCACTTTTTTTGTAAACAGAGAGCCCAATATTCCATTGTGGATGGTGAAAAAAACTTGATTTCAATGACTTCAATGAGATCAGTCCCAGAAGTTCTACATCCTCTCAACAGGATCTGACAAACTTTGGCTATTACAAGGAGTTCCATTTTGTATTTTGTTTTAAATTATTTAAAATGTCATTGCAAACTGCTGTATGCATATCTTACTACCACCTGGCTTGAACTGTTTCTGTGTAGTTAGTTTTTCTTTTTTTCATATGTATTGCAGTAGTAATAGGGATTTTGTGGTGTTTTTCGGAGAGGAAACTTAAAATTAACACCAGCAGTAACCTGTACCTTACCATAAATGTAACATGGTTTTGATTTGTAGCTTTTTGTAGCTTTAGAGTTCTGTTTCCAGGGTTTCATTTTGTTATTTTACTTCAACTCCTTATAATGACAGCAGTGCTGACTTTGAAGTCTTGTCAGTGGGACTTCACTTTTTTTGTTTCTAACAAACCTGTATCCTATATATGGTTCTCTGTCATTCATCTGAAACATTCTTTCATCTTTGCAAATCACCAATTGTTCCATGTATTTTCCTAATGCTGAATTTGTGGCAAATCTGTATTTTTCATCTTGTATGCTTTCTCTGTGATTTATAGAGATGGACAGACACCAATTCTGCAACGTCAGTGGAACTGTTTTTCTTTCAGCCCCAACATGAGTTGACTTTTCTCCCATAAACCAAACTGGGAGAAACGTATTCTGCTATTAATATGTTAGGTGAAAAGAATGCAAAGAATGTTTCTGACTTTATTTGAACAGATGGATAAGATTCCTGTTTTCTTGGTGTGAACTAATATTTATACATAGTACAGACCTTTAGTATGAGCCTTAGCATTGACTGTGGTGAGTAAGTATATATTCATTGCTATTACGTTCCACATAATCAGAGTTACAACATAACCAAGGGTAACAAATCCTAAAGAGTACTGTGGGGGCAGTTTGAAGGATGAGTTTCTCAAGCAGTGTTTCTTTTTTTACAGATAAAAGAAAATCCAAGAACCAGAAAGTATCAGAGAGTGGAAGAGGAAAGCGATACTCTTACAAGTTACCTCAGGAGTACAATATAGAAACTGTTGTGGTGGCAGATCCGGCTATGGTTTCGTATCATGGAACAGATGCTGCCAGAAGATTTATTCTAACTATCTTGAACATGGTAGGAAATTGAAAAACGAATTTTCATGTTTTGCCAGCAATGCACGCGCCGTGGGCTGATTTCGTTGCTCCTTCCAATGGTTCTGACTGAGCACCTGTAAGGGACAGTCAGCTCACACCATCAGCAGGCTGTCAAGACTTAGTCCGTATGTTTTGCAGCATAAAACCATGGTGCTGCAGACTTGTCTGTACTGTCTGGTCATACATCTTCAGGGAAGCCTGAAAGTGAGAGAACAACATCACTTTTTGGTTAGAAGTCCGTGGTATTGTTGGAAAGGTTGTGGTATTGGATGGTTTCTGGTGACCTGTGCTTGTTATGTAGACATGATACTGTAGAGAAGGAGTGGGTGGTCATTAGTGGCCTAAAAAAACGAAAGAGGAATCGACTTAGACAATTACATTCCCTCACAGCTCTATTTGGAGCTGTAGTAGTTCATTTGATGCATAAAGCATTGAAAAAATAACATCTGTAATGTGCAAGGGGAGATTGTCCTAAAGAAGGAGCATAAACTGAGCAATTAATATAAACTTTAGCTATTCTGAATTATAGGGGAAGCTAGAGAATTAGAGCTAGAGGTTGGCTCAGACCACTTGGGCCCTGATCATGGATTTAACTGAATAGAAATTTTCATGTGAGCAGTATTAAATGCACGTGTAAATATTTGGAGAAACAGACTACAGTTTGTAAAGTGGTCATGGCCACTGAGGGGGAAAAGGTCTTTTTTTGTGCTCCTGGAATGAATACTGGCTAAACTCTCTTTTTCTTTCAGAAGACCAACACAGTATATTAGCTTAATGCTCTGTTCAAATTGTGGAATATTAAAGCAGTCACAGTGGAATATGAGAGTGTTTTGAGGTTCTGCTATTTTTAGTATACAGTGTGTTGTGTGCAATACAAGCACATATTTTTATTTGCTGTTTTTTATCTTAGGTTTTTAACCTTTTCCAGCACAAGAGTCTTGGACTTCAAGTAAATCTTCGAGTGACTAAGCTTGTCCTCCTTCACGAGACTCCTGTAAGTATTTATTACCTTTGTCTTAGCCTGTTGAGGGTAATGCTACTTAGCTTGTTGCTCCAAAGGCTTACAGCGTTCACCAACTTTACTGGCTAAAAAATTTTCTTAGCTTTTGTGCATGACTTCGTGATTTTCACTGATGGGCAGCCCCGATGAAGATTAGGCTTCTCCTAATTGAGATTAGCTCGGTTGGTTGGAGCATGGGGCTAATAACACCAAGGTCATGGGTGTGATCCCTGCACAGACCATTCACTTACCAGTCAGACCCAGTGATCCTTGTGGGTCCCTCCCAGCTCAGAACATTCAGTGACTCTGTGACTCTGTGGTTTATGTGCTGCGTGTATCGACACTTCCCTGTGCGTGCAGTCAAAGGTCAATCAGAGTTTCCATGTGGAAATCAGGTGGATCTCAACAAAATGCGCCTCTGCTCTGCCTTTTGTGCATTTGTACGGCTCAATACAAAAATCAACCCTCTTAACCCAAATCGACAGTAGGAGGAGTACCAATGTTCCTTGTTACCTAACAAACAAAAGGTGCCATGATGTAGCACTTCTCTTACACTTTTCAGACATCAGCGCAAATATTGTTCTTTTTTCTGAAGAAAGACAAGTCAGTTGATACCTTGACTGAGATTTTCCATTACCCTGTGGGTTTTATATCTTATTTCTGGACAATGTCAACTTGATTTCTTGTTTGGTTTCTTTTCTACAAAATATTATGCAAATCCTTTCATGTTTCAGTCAGTTCATAAGAAAAAGGAACTCCCTTTATCCATGGTTCTAATTTTAAAATACTGTATTTTTCCAATGAATAAGTAAGTATTTCTTTCTCCAGTTCCTCTCAGCTGTTGAAGAAATCTCATTTAGGGATCAAATTCTGGATCTGCACATCTTTATTCTTTTCTTTACTATGGATAATGAAAAATTAGAACATAAATGAGTTCAGATGAAAAGATGCATGTATACTTCTCAATGCACTGTCTCCATTTGTATCTTTGATATGAAAAAAAGTGGTCTCTGATCCTGAAGTTTGAGTTGTTTTGCTGTGAATATATTATGTCATAAAAGGCAGAATATTTTTACTACCTTAGTCAAAAAGGCATTTGAATTCTATTTACAGAATCATAATTTTAATAACTTTTTTTTTTTTAAATTTCCAGGCAGATATGTATATTGGACATCATGGGGAAAAAATGCTGGAAAGCTTTTGTAAATGGCAACATGAAGAATTTGGCAAGAAGAATGATATACACTTAGAAATGTCAACAAGCTGGGGAGAAGACATGTCTTCGATTGATGCAGCCATACTGATCACAAGGTAAAATAAAAGATGAACCTTAAAAGTAAGCAACAGCCTAATATGAACATAGATAAAAGGACTTGATAGATGACCAACACAGGAAGTGTGCAACTTGAGGCGTCTTTCCTGAGCTCAAAAGTGGTGGTAAGGTGATAGTTCAGAGCAGAAGTTCAGGTAGTAGTTACCAGATGGTGAACATCTGAAATGATGAATGGGTTACTCTCTTATTTCTTCTTTGGCTATAGGGCTCAGGCCTTAGGTACCCAGCTAAGGTTGGATGCTTTCCTCCATGAGCCTTCATTTAAAAGAGGCAGCACACGCAGACCTGCAGACACTTAAATTCAAAACACAAAACCATATTTAAACCATTCAGTGGTTGGTCAGCATTAGGCACATTACTGAGCTATGCTTCCCTCTTATGGATCTAGAGCTAATGCGCTTCACTGTGTGCTGAAGGTACTTCGTGCACACCATTAGTATGTGCTCTGCAGCCACAGGGCTGTGATTCCAGATCTGCAGTTCCTTGTAACTCTGAAGTGTCAGGCATTTCACACACTGAGTAGGAAACGGGCAATTTCACTAGGAACTATATGTTTTTGTTTTGCTTTGTTTTGTTTTGTTTTTTAATTAGTTGTATTCTGATTACTCCAGTATCTAGAATGTATTTCAATTTTCTGAGGCAGAAAAAGGCTGTCCTAAATTTTCCTGGTTTTGAGAGCCAGTCATGTACTGGAAGCAGGAAATTAGGAAGTTCAGATTGTCTGTGGCGACAGCCTTGTTGCTACCTTTGCTGTTCAAACCCTTATCTTTTCTCAGAAAAACTCCTGTGCCATACTCCTCTACTTGGTATGTATTTCTGTTTTATGAATTGTTGGGGCTTTGAGGGGGAGGATTAGTTTTTGTTACACATTTATACATTAAATCAGCGGTAATCCTTTTCACCAGCTCCTCTCAGATACAGTGGAAGATGTGAGAAATAATGTTCTGTGCAATAAATTTTCACTAGCTCATCAGTAATTTTCATCAGCTCATACTTGGAATGTCAGACTAAAAATAATTTTTTCTGATTAAGACCCTGACTCTTTTCAGCAGTGCCCTGCGACAGGATGAGAAGCAATGGCCATAAATTAAAACACAAGAAGTTTTCACCTCATGAAGAAGAACTTCTTTATGTTGAGGGTGGCAGAGCACAGGAACAGGCTGCCCAGGCAGATCATGGAGTCCCCCTCCCTGGAGACGTTCAAAAACCCTCCTGGGCACGTTCCCATGTAACCTGCTCTAGGACACCCTGCCTTGGCAGGGGGATTGGACTTGGTGATCTCCAGAGGTCACTTCCAGCCCCAACAATTCTGTGATTCTGAATGGTAAAAAAGCTTTGCAAAAGGCTAATGGTACGTTAAGATGTGCTTTTCTGAAGTGCTTTGTAAATAATGATATTCTTATTTCACAGAATCACCGAATGATTTGGTTGGAAGGGACCTTAAAGATTGTCTGGTTCCAAACCACTGCTATTGGCACTAGAGCAGGTTACTCAAAACCCCACCCAACGTGGCCTTCTCTGGGCAACCTGTTGCAGTGTCTCATACCTATACAGTAAAGAATTTCTTCCCTATATCTAACATAAACCTAGCGCTTTTTTTCAGTTTAAAGCTATTCTTCCTTGTCCTGTCACACATGTCCTTGCAAAAAATCCCTCTCCAGCCTTCCTGTAGGCCCCTTTCAGGTACCATAAGGCTTCAGTAAGGCTGATCCTTCTCCAGGCTCACGAAGCCCAGCTTAGCCTGTCTTCATTTGAGCAGTGCTCCAGTCCCTGGGTCACCTTCATGGCCCTCCTCCAAACTTGCTCCTGTGTCATCTAGAGTTTTTTTACCTGTAAGTTTAAATACTTTTTTTTTTTTAAATCTCTGATTAATGTTAAGGAAATTGAAGTAGAGAGCAGGGAAGTGATTGGTTAGATGTCAGGCAGTAAGTCAGTGCTGGAGCCAGAAATTAAAAGATCTGTTCTTCTGAGGTTTTTATTTTTTCAGGGGTATTATTCTCTAGCCTGCACTGCCTCCCACCTTAGAGCTGCTTTAGCTGCTAGTAAATCATACTACTGCGGTTTGCTGACTGTGGGAATGTTTTGCTAATCCAGGCTCCCTCTGCACATCATCAGGTTTATGGTATAGCTAACCCCACGTGTGGCTCTACTTGTGTGTTTTGTTAATTCAGAATCTCATTCTGTTTTTGCAAACACAGAACAAGCTCCTTTGTCACAGCTTCCAAAGAGCTTTGGGCAGGAGGTCTGCTTTACTGAGAGAAATAATTGTGTTTAGACAGATGAACACCAATTGCTCTGTGTTTTTTGAGTTAAAATGCAAAGTTTTTGTTATCCAACACATTCTGTGGCAGACCTCCTAAAACTTACCACACCTCCTCTTTTTTCTTGCATGATAATAGAGCAGCAAGAGTACTTTTTAAAAAAGCACTCCTGTGCTTTCACATGCCAGTTGTGTGTAGTAACCAAAAGAGTTAGAAATTGAGTGCTCTGCAGAGCTGATTTTTAATGCCTAAATACAAAAGGAGTAACTTGGATGTTACGGAGACTGTTATTGAACAGTCAACGGGCTGTCACAGCCTTTTCATGAAAAAGGTACTTTTCAAAACTTTATTTTTGCGTTTGTTTTGCAAAAAGGAAAGCAAGACCAACTTCTCCCCACAACTTTCTCTGCTACCCAGATAGTCTGTAATGATCCATGTGAATCTGCTACCAAGTTGTCCATTTTACTTTATTTTACTTTTAATTCAACCTTTGAGTTTTTGTTTAGTTTCCCTTTAAATTGGCTTACTTCAGTGAAGTAATGTCCTGCATAAAATATGGTGCCATAAAATAAAGGGAAGGCAGAAAGAGTTTGTGGCATATTTAGAGAAGATCCCTGTGGAGGTTAGACATAAAGAGAACGTGATAATTAAGACAGATATTGTTTTAAGGACTTTCTTTATAAAACAACCTGTTTTATCAGGTAAGTTTTACTGTATTCACAGTTATAAATTAGCATCGTTACTTTAGAGATAGACATTATCAGGAACTATACTTTTCTCTGAGGACAAAATACAGCATGTTGCATCAACATCCTCCTTACCTTTCAAGTTACAGTGTGAATGCCCAGAGACAAGCCCCAGTTTTGATGGCCACTGAAAAGACATTACCAATTGTTATCTGATAGGTTGCTTGACCTGAATGAGGTAACTGAAAGTAAGGCAGGAAAAATCTCATCCCCAGTTGTTCTGAAGTTCTTACGTTGCCTGTATTGCAAACAAGGTAATGTAAAGCTTTGGAGTGTATTAAAAAATGTGTATACAAGAGTGAGGCAAAATCTATCTTCCCTTGAAAATTATGCATCATGTTGCTTTTCCAGTGCATTGATCAGTCTGTTGTATCACAGTGGTTTTTAGGAAAACAAGTATGTAGAAAAAGAATAATATATAAGAAAACCCAAGTTCTTTATTCTCCTTCTCAGAACTAGAAAGAGATTTGGTTTCTAAGCTGCTATTGCCGTTCTTGAACTCCTACTGAATTTCAGCTCTGGAAAAGTGAGTTCTTGCAAATAAGAATGGTGAGAGATGAGATTATTCTTAATTTTGTCTTCAATAGTGTAATTTCAAAGCTGCCAAATCTCTTGATATTTTTGTACAGTGTTCACTGGTTTGGTTGTTTGTTTTTTTTTGACACCACCAGCAAACATCAAGGAAGTTCATGAGAATCTCACGTGGCCATACTATTAATTATCTCATAATAGGGTTGCAGATGCAGAAGGAAGCAGGGAAATGTTAAAAGAGTTTGTTTTAGGATAGAGAGATTTTTAGAAGAAAAAGATGTGGTTTTTTTTAAGAAAAGCCTCTCCTGTCACTTAAAATTTAAATCATGTATTTTTATCTTGTGTATTTTTAAAATCACACTAGTTTTAAGTCATCACATGCTGTTTTGTTGTTTTTCTTCACAAAGGTCTAGGTATTTGTTGAGTCTGTGAAGTGGTAATGCTTACAGTAATCCATGTGGGGAAAATCTTCATGAACTTACTTCTTTCTGTCAGCTTATTCTTTCAAGCTTTGGTAATTAGGCTATGTTCCATTCATTGATACAGATCTGTTCTGTAGGATTACATGGACCTAAACTGTAATATCTCAGATTATCTAGTGCAAGACCCTAACATAAAATTTAGACAGTTATTTTATGTTTTAATTTGTCTGATGAATAAGAAAGCTAGCCAGTCTTGCAACAAAGATTTAAAATAAAGGAATATTAACTGTGTTCTGCAGCAGATTATTGGCAGGGTTATTTACTTTCAGAATGAACAGTTGGTCTATTTCTAATTTTTGTTGCTTCTGTTTTCGCCCATGGATCTCCTAGTACCCTTTGCTGCTGTTAAAAAGCTCCCATCTATGGAAATACTAGTAGGCTGTGCTCAAGCCAAAACTCTTCTTTCTTTTAGAGTAAATTACAGAGATTAGTCTATGTAATTATTATCTCAGTTCTTTCCAGACCTTTTCCTCTTTACAGAGTTATTTTATTAAACATAAGCATCAAAACTGGACACAGTATTGTGGGAACAGTTGTAGGGGTGCTGTTCTGATATTTTCCTGAATCTTTGTCCAAGGATGCTGTGCCTGCTTTCAAATTATCTTTGTTTGTTTGTTTTTGTTTTATTTTGGTTTTTTTGCTTTGCTTTGTTTTGTTGTCACGGTGTTGTGTCTTATCAAGTCTAGGGGTCCATTTTTGGCTACATAAAAGAAAATTTGCTGAGATGAGTCATCTTTAAAACTTACTTTGTCTCAATTTTGATGTGTATTCTATCAGAACTCATTTAATTTTTAAACTTCACCAATAATGTTCTCTTATTTTCTTCTACTTCATTGTTTATTGTTAATGCTGACTCTAGATTCTTTTGGACTCCACTCAAAAAGGCCTCCCTTGGCTTCCTAACTATTCCATATCTATTTTGAAATGTTAATTGCACCTTCAGTTCAGTTATTAACTTACCCCCATCTCTGAATTGGTGTTTCGCAGTTTGATTGAAATATGACCTTTAGAAGGCCTATTTATATTATCCTTTTTAATCTCAGTTCAGTTTTACAGAGCCTAAGTGAGTTGTTTTAAATATTTAAATATAGTATTTTCTTTTTTTGCTAAAATACACTGACCAGTGCATACTGGTGCATTTACCCTCAAAGTACTAAACAGTTTCTGAAATAGCATTTATGCTAGTAACATTGTCCATTTATTTAAATTCTCAACTAAACATTAAATGTGTAATTTTTCTTGTGCTTCATTAACAACAAAATAGTTTTAAATCTAATTATTTTCATTAAAAATGCATTTATTAGTTAGTACATATGTGCTTACTTTATATGTGAGAATAATTTCAGAATGTCCTATTATGTGAAGAGACAAGAACTTCTTCAGTGTTGTCATTATTCACTCAACACAATGCAAATGAAGGCATTTGCAGTTTGAGGGTAATGTCATTTGCCACAAGGGCAATTAATTGCAGCCATTCTTTATAAAAGTCTTACTCTTTGAGAAAAATTGTTACTTGGACAATAAGCCCCAAATATACCTTTAAATGTTGTAAGTCCCAGAATTGATAAAAACAAGAGTTAGACTGCAGTTTCAAGCCTATGCTACATTTCTCAAAATTACAAACATTAGAGAAATTGGGAAATTAAGAGTAGAGTGAAGCCAGAAGGAAGATTTGGTAGACAGGTAAAATCCGTTTTCTGTCCTCTTCTGTTTCTTCTTTTGTCCAATCTAGCATATGGAAGGAAATTATATACCAACTTGGACAAGATCTTTTGACTATTTTGACTTGCCTAAAACAAGTATTAAATTTATATAAAATGACAAGTTGCTACAAAAAAAAAAAAAGTCTGGATTTTTCTTTAGTCTTCTGCTGTTCTTGGTGTCTTCTGGTATACATCCCATTTACACATCAGGATTCATTTTAACAGCGATGTATGGAGGTACTTTATATTTAGAAATCAGTTAGCCTTGGTTTGCTGTGAAGGTCTTTCATAATGCTATATGTAGTCAATTGAAATGGGTAGAGGGGGACCTCAATGTGCTTTAACCAGTTTATTGCTTTCAATGATGGACTCAGTTACTAACTTGTGCCACAGAAAGCTTCTATATGCACTAATGGTAATGCTAATACCTTTGCCCTGTTTTATAGTAAGAGAAAGGATGAAAAGGACAAAGGCAAATTGTCTGAGGACACTGTAGTGTGCTTCATTACTTTATTTTATACCTCCTCTTGCTTGGAAGAGTCCTCTATTTTGTATAGCTTCAGTATGTATAAAATGTAGAGTTGTGCATATATATATATATATATGTCTTTTATATGTATATATACAGGAACACAGTAATGATGGAATATTTAGCTTACCATGTTGGAATTAGAGAGCAATTTTTCTGGGAGTCACTGGTGGATTTAGCTAGAACTGTAAATCTTTGCTAAGGAGCGTAGTCTCCAATGTATGTAATGCATTCATTTTCTTGGAAATTAAAGGAGGTATTACATTCTTTCAATGTAAATCAGGAACTAAGAACGTTTTGCTGTATTTCCCTCTTGCCAAATCATAGCAATACCATTTCCCCTAAGTCCCATAATGAAACCCTGGATGCATAGCATAATCATAGTCAGATTCAGCCAAGAAGGAAAAACAAAACAAAAACAGCTCAGTAAGTATCTGAGAACAAAGCTATTACATAAGCAGAAACTTCTTGGGTATTGGCAATTTTAAAATTTCAGGTGGTATTCTTTTACCCTTGAAGGTATGCTCTATTTATTTTGTTTGTTTGCTTTTTTTACTAATTATTACATCAGTTAATATTTATGGTGGTTGGATGGCTGTGGATTGAAGGCAGTCTGTGTCCTTAGATTGTCTTTAGGCATGTTCTCTTGCTTCACCAAGAGTCCCATATTTCTAATTGTTCCGTCATGTTGCTCATCAAGACAATAAGTCCCTTGTGCCACATAGCAAAAAAACCAAAGAATTGTGTTACAACCCGGTGCATTAATTTCATCAATTTCTTTCAGGTTTGAAAAAATAAAACAACTTTCTTATGTGTTTGATTATAGCTTTTTGTTCACCACCTTTTGCTCAATTTCCGGGACTACTTTGAGCGTATTCCCGGAGCTTAAACTTTATCAGTTTAACTCACAATTTTATCAGTTTATAGCACTGCTGTTTTTCTTCTTCACTCTGTAGTTATCTGGCAGTGGTGACTGGTGAATCAAAAGCTTTATAACCTCATGTATCTATCTGTGTAGCCTTTAACAAGTGCTGGAACTTTGCCAACCCTCTTGAGATTGCTTTTGGGTCTAGATCACTCTGTAGGAATAGTTTCTGGGAAACAAACAAACAAACAGCTTTTGGAGTAGTTACATTTGTAAAAAAGATAAGTATCAGTATTTTATATATCAAGAACCAAAGAATTTTGGATAACAGGTGTTTCTCTGTGTGTATATCTTTATCATTATCCATCTATGTGTATATCTAGGTACCTTCATGTACAGAATATAAAAATTAAATTTCTCTTATCCATATGGTCTCCTTCTAAAAACAGAGACCATTATTCTGTGGCACAGCTGGAAAACAGAACTTAATTCGTTTTTGAGGTTGTTAAACATGGAGTTTTTTTGTTGTTACTTCCCCACTGGTTCCCTCCCAGCCTCTCCAGTTCATGCATATTTCATCAGCCTTTTTTTTTTTTACTTAAAATAATAAATTAACGTGAATTCCAATTACTCCAGTGAAAAAGCAGCTTTCCCTTTGCTCTTTTGGTAACTTTGGTGTGTGTCCCTGAGAACAAGTGAAATAGGCGTGAAACTAAAACGAATCCCAAGCACAGGTGTCGTTTAACACAGAATTGAACTATTTATTCTACTTTATGCAACAGAGCAGTCTTATTTATTGAGCTATGATTCGAGTAAAATATGTGTTGGAGATAGGGCAGTCTTCTTCCTGTGAATTAATTTATAACTCTTCCACTATTGTAGTGGGATGCTCTAGCAGAAATGCTTCTCCAGAATATATTCCTATTGTGATTTTAAGCACTGATGTGCTTGCACAAAAGCTCTATCATTGATCTAAATGCTGGTTTACAGCACTACCTTTGAATCCTGGTGTTAAACACTGAAAATATTTTCATTTAAAAAGAAAAAAAAAACCTAACTTTAGACTTGTTACTTTTCAAAATGCTTACAGAAAAAGAAGAAGAAAAAAGAAAAAGCCAAACAGAACCACTGAAACAATAGAACACAGAAATTAGGTACAATGCAATTTGAATATACGGTACCTGTTTTGTCACCTGACTCCTCTTTAATTTGTTCTGAAAATAAACCAGAGTTTCAGTGTAATCCTAGCCTTTGCTTCCCCTTGCTCTTTGTTGAGATAATGGTGTTCTGTATTTATTCACTGAGCCATACAAAATGTTTGTAAATAGGTCACACAGTTGTTACCCTCTGACAGCTTGACTTGCTTAACTTTTTTCCTTTCCCCCCCAATTCTAGGAAGGATTTCTGTGTACATAAAGATGAACCCTGTGATACTGTTGGTAAGTAAATAAACATAAGAGGCTGTATATAAACTACTTAATAAAGTATGTGTTATGTAAATACAAATGTGAAGCTCAAAGGTGACAGCAGAATTGGTGATGGGCAGCAGTAACTAGGTAAAATGCAAAATACATCTTAAATGCTAATAATACTGTTAGATTTGTGTATACCTCTAGCAAAGTACTGCCCTTAAGTACAATATTGTCATCTCTTTCATAGGAAAAACTTCTAAAACTATTTTCTTTTTAATCTCACTAACTGACTAATACAAAATTGGTTTACTGTTCTTATGTATGAAGATAAAAACTTGTGTTTATGATTCTTTTTTGTGCCGTGAATTTATCTTTGATGAGAATGGGTTTACAATATATAAAAGAAGTTCCCAGTGTAACATAGTAGAGTGATACAGAGTTTATGAACTGTGTGACTTCAGAAGAATACAGGATGTGAGCTATTGTGAAAGGCATCTTCTGACATCTTCAGTTAAACTGCGTGCTAGCTGAACTGAGCTTTTCTATCAACAGTCATTGATATAGTTCACACACTTTTGGGAAGACAGTTTTTCAGTGTAAAGGTCTGATGAAAAAAGTAACAAAAAGTAGCAGTTGTTCCATTCAGTTTGAATTCTGGGTGAAATTTCTGTTTAGTTTGAATTCTGGCATGATCCTAAATGAAGGATGTCATGGCATGTTTTTACCATAGAATTTCAATTGGCTGACTGAAGTCTTATCATTTCTATATGTGAATACAAGGATTCAGAACCTATTTTCTTTTTTTCAGTGATTAGGATGATAGTAATGGACTATTTATTATTGTCCTGTTTGTGCTCCCTCGTAGGTAAAGTCGATTTTTCTTTTCCTGCTTCATTTAAGTTACAAAAGTCTGAGGAGAATTCTTATGTCAGCTGTATGACCTCACTACTTGATAGTCTTTTTTTATTTTGCTGCTGTATCCCAAGTGTATGTGAGTGTGTTTGTGAGATGGGTATCAATGAAAACCTTCTAAACGAAGGATGGAATGTGTTTCACAGCAGTTAATTATTAAGAATTCATCATGTTCTTTCACTAATTGGTATATTGGTCTTAAGTGAATTTTGGAATGAATGTTTGGTGCTCAGAGGCATTTATTTTTGACCTGTTAGTGGGAAAATGTTTCCTTCCGGCTGGAAGAGGAAGCAATGTGACAAGAAGTCTTCAGCATTTTGTGTTGATCTAAACTGAAGATTAAATCTGGAGTACTCCCAGTATATCTAAATCAGGATAGGCTGCTGTCTGGATTTCACAGATAAAGTGAATGTATTCAAGGATTTGAATGATGAACAGTGATTGAATTTGAATGATGAAGTCTTTGATTGAAGCTTCAATGTAATAGAGGGACTATTTACCTCTGAATTTGTCCATGGAATTTTAAATGGGATGAGATTGAACTGACTCAAGCATTGGTCATTCACGTTTCTGTGGTGGAGAAGCTTGAACGAAACTTGAAAATGAGCCAGTGCACTGATTGCAAATGCACAGGAAGTAAAGAGTTTGCAGTCTTAATATAGTGATAAAAAAAATGCAGTAGAGACCTTGAGAGTCCGATCTGGCACTTTGTGGAATGGCTGTTGTGGACTTTCCCACTCTCCATATTGCTGTTCAGAGGTTTCTTCAGGAACTGGAATGTCGTTTGTATGTGTGGTTCTTTCCATGTAGGTACAATTGTGCGGCAAATCTAAGGTCATTCCCTTCCTGGTGTTTCACCTTTTATGATGTGAATTCAATCATTAGTTTCCCAGATGAATACAGCACCTTTCCATAAGTTCAGGGAGTCATTTCTTCCATGCCCATTTACAGTAGTGTTAATCCATGCTCACTGTTAAGAAGAAAATCTTCTGAGGCTCTTGTCCACCATCATCTTGTCCACCACCATTCATGACATATATTCATATATCATGAATATATTATTATTGATATATCAATATTTTTTAGGATAGCAGGCCTTTATAATGCCAAATTGTTGAAAGTACACGTAGATAGAAGGTGATTTCATTTTGGTATCTTTTCCTGATTTCCCTAGGAAAACCAAAAGGGTGATTGTAGATTAGATAACGAGAGAAAGTTTGTTGAAAGGAAATGAAGGGCAATTCTATCTTACTATAGATATTCATGCAACAAATTTATTGGCAGAAGGAGACAGTGCATTCCAGGGATGTATAACATTCTATAAATTACAGAATTTACCAAAGACAGTAAATGAGAAGTGCTAATGCACTGTACAATTCCCATATGTCCAGAGCTTGCCTCACCTTCTCCCCGATAAAACCCAGAAGAATGCACCACGATACAGACTTTTGTCTACTCTAAAGAGTGGAATAAAGCAATGCTCTGTGAAATATTAATATATCTGTACCTGTATGCGAGGCAGTCAAGATGATCTTAAGCAATTTACACAATCCAGAAATGGAAGTCATGAGAAGGGGGCATGTACAGGACAGACCTTGTTACTGGAAAGGGTTGTCATGTTGGATAATAGTTCTTCCCAGTACTGGACGCTAAGCAGACGAATACTGGATTTATTGTTTAGTCATTAAATGCCAAGACCAAGAGTTTTCAGATTGGACATGAGTATCCACTTAAGCCATAAACAGTAAGTACCAGTATTCTGTTATATAGACAAAGTTTTCGTGATTTAGGTGGCAAATAATACATTTTTTGTGCTTCCAGTCTTGTTCTAAACGAAGTACAGAGCTTATGCACTCTTCAATACTTTTTCATTGTCTCTTAAAATAACAGTGCTTTATATTAAGATTTAATGGTTTAAAGGTATAATTAACCTCAGAACTCTGTTAACCAGAAAAAAATGTTTACTCCAAATCAAAACCATATGTGAAACCTCCCTGGAAAAATACTGAAATATATTTCATTGATGATATTGAACAAAATGTGTGGTAATAATCTTCTAAATATTCCTTCACAAAAACATTTAAGGGCAAATGGATTTCTTAGGGATTTTTTTCCCCCCCGTAACAATAGAAAACATGATTTGGACTGTCAAAATCACAGAGAAGTGAAGGCTTTGGCAAGACTTCATGGTGGCCTTCCAGTACTTAAAGGAGGGAGAGGGACATTTTATGAAGGCAGATACTGGCAGGACAATTCTAAATTGTAATAATACTTCATATTTTATAGTTTTGCAAAATAGAATTAATAAGAATTAATTCAGGAATTTTAATTAATTTAATTGCAAAATAGAATTAATAAGAATTAATTCAGGAATTTTATTTGATTCCCCAAAGTGTGTTGAAGTTTAGAAAGTAGAATGTATTTATTTTATGCATTGCAATATTAAGTATTGTACTATTGCTAGAAATCTTTGGAAATCTCTGCTGTAGGCAGGGGAGGTGTGAGGCTGCTTTTTTATTTCCTAACGTAAATCCAGCGTAACTCAAATTAATGCCATACTTCCCCATCCCATTTTTTTTTTTTTTAATCCCACTTTTGTGTAAAACATTAAGATACACTCTCATGTGGTATCAGTCAGCCCAGGTCAACTGATTTCAGCTATGCTCATCTGATTTCAGCATTGTCGGTTGTCGCAGCCCCTGTCAAATTCTTTCTGGGTGGAGAACCACAAAGCAATTGTTTTAGGCTCAAAATCGACCAGACCCAAGTGTTCTTGAGCTTCCTCTGGTTGATTGGCTGCAGCACTCTTTTCTATTTATTTATTTATTTATTTATTTATTTTATTCTATTTTCCCTCCTGTTCTGATCATGTGTATTCTCTCTGTCTCCTGTTCTGTGTGGAACTGAGATCCTGTCTCTTCACCACTGATTCTCAACAGTTCTTCTGTATCTTAAACAGAGGTTTCAGACATTGCTTTACAGTACAATCATTAGGGACACAGTATGACTAGAACAGGTGACTTTTCTAAGGGTGGAAGAATATGAAGATGTTTATATACGACTTAAATTTTGTTTAGCTAATGAAAAGTTAGATTTGTAATTGTCTGAGATTCTTTTCCTCCAGAAGACAACTGACTTGTAGGATCTTGGCATGTCTCTGCTCCAAACAGACTTTGTTAGCTTAGTCTTTTGAATCTGTGGTGATTTGGAGTGTTCTTTTTCTTGTGCTGATGACAGGTAAAATTATGAGTGTAGATGCCCCAATGAATTTCTGAAAAATCTAAGAAATAATTCAATTGTCGATTTTCAAAAAATTAGGTCCTTAGTAACAGAAAAAAATGTAAACTGTGGGATTGCACATGCTCTATTGTTCTTGTGTGTGAATCTTCTGGTATTATTGTATTTAAGTAACTGAGATGAGCAGTGATTCATAGGGCAACTTTTTGGTGGGGTATTGCGCAAACCAGCAGATGGAAATAAACAGATATTTTGTCAAGAATTAGGCTAAAAAGTAAACACAGGAAGACTATTTTTTGAAGCAAGTGTATGCACATCTGAATTTCTGTTCCTCTTGTCTGCATTTTCAGCAATTTCAGCAATTAGGATTTTGAGTTTCTGAGAGGTGTTTCTTTTGTGTTAGATTTGCTGTTTCCTGCTAGCTCAAATGTCTTCTGTGGAAACACTGTAATAGAGTTCTCGGTGTGCAATGTTACAGGCATAGGCAGATTGTTGGCATCACAACACTTGCCTTGTGTGGGAGCCTTGTTAATCTGCAGAAACTGAGGTAGAGATTTTTCTAAGGGAGGCAGTGACCTTTCTGCGACAGCCGTGCTTTGAGGCTGCTGAGGATGCCTTGGTTTAGCATCCCTCTACCTCCTTTTCCAGTCCTTCCTTGTGCCAGCAAAATGGCTCAGCAAGTCTTGGCACAAAAATGCAGTTGTCTTTAGTGAAAATTGTGATTGTTCACTTAGCTGTAAAATTTTGTTTGTGGTTTCCAGGCAGCTCCCAATTTGCATCAAAGCTGTATCTTAGATTGATGGATAGGTTCTAGCAGGAATGCTTGAGAGGTTCTGGAAATGTTCAGGGATTCCTAGAGTTGTTCACCTCAAAGTGGT